TTTACAAACTTAACTTTATCATCATCCAACTCACTATATATATATGGATCACCACCGTACCTATATATACATATATGAAAAAGGAATACACTTTGCTATACAATACTTAGCTTTTGATTTAGTTAGTTCATCACATTTTGTTTTTGGTCGTAGTTCATCACAATTTAAAAGTAAGTTGTAGTTCATTAGTTTTGTTTGATTATGTAAGTTTGATATAGTTTTAACAATTTTATAATATCATTGTCAAAGTGTTTTCAAGAAATCGAGATGGTGACAAAAGAGTACTTTGATATATATGGAGCTGAATAATACAATTAATAGTTATTTTAAGAAGTTTAATTATAACATCTCTAATATCCAATCAATGAATCAAATTTCATATTCTCTTTTCTAACGACAACTAAAATGATGATTTATACTTTTATTTTTAACTAAAAAATGATGATATATTTATTTTTGTTTTTTCTTACTAAAAAAAATATAAGATGGATTTTGATTTGAATATTTTCGTAATTTTAAGTATAAAAAGTTATTTTTCAAAAATTTCGAAAAAGGGGTTAGTTTTCAAAACATAAAAAGTTTTAAGATTATTTTTACAAATTTTCTCTAAAAATGTAGCATATTATTTTAAAAAATTGGCTTCGAAAACTATATTCATTAAACACAGATAAACTAACATTTACAGAAAATTATATTTACAGAAAATAAACTGACATTTACAGAAAATTAGATTGTATTTAAATTTTCTTTAATAAATTATATGTCTAGTTAGAAATAACACAAATACAGAAAAAATCATATTTTCCATAACACTTAAATGAAAGAAGTAAAATCATCTAAATTGTTAAAAAAAAAAATCACGTTTGTTCACTTGACAAAAATATATAGATATATAGAAATACTGGTAAAATATTTTTTCTTTATCTGCAAATAATGCAAATACTTTTAATTTTGCTGTGATAAATTCCCCTTCTCTTTTAATTTAAAAACTCACTTATTTTTATTGCTTTTTATTAAAATGTTAGTTATTTGACTTTTCTCGTTCACTCCTCTTCGTTTTCTTTTTTCTTTAAATAGAGAGCATGCAGGCTAACATTTTATTCATCACTTGTTTTTCCACAAAGAGAGTGTTATTACTTATAAGCAGTTCCAGACAATGGCTTCCAAGACTTTAATTCTGTTGTGTGTCTTTGCATTTCTTCTCGTCGTCTCAGAAATGGCCGTAGCATCTGCAGAGCAGTCCGGTACGTAAAATTATTTTATACAAAATAAAAATATGTTCGTGAGGCTAATCGAACCAGTGCTAACGTATCATTTGATAAAAAGTTTCCAACCATTTCGTCCGTATTAAGTCCAGAACGTTGGTTTGAACGATGGTCAATGATTTGGACTTACTAAGTCAAAACACACCTAAGTATGGTGTTGTTGTCTACTTGACGACACGTATGGTGTTTTTTTTTATAATGAAAAACAAAACTTTGTATACGTATCAGACCATCTGAAACTATTTAGATGTTCCGTGGAAATTTGATATGTATATATTTAGTAATGAAACTCAGTTTTTTTCATTTTAACTAGAGATCCGAATTTATATGTATTTTAAAATTTATTTTTAAAATCGGGGAGAGGAATGCACAAATGCACGTGCTAAATTTTTTTTTGAAATAAATGATGTGTTTTCTTTTGGACAGGTACAGCGAACTCAAAGAGTGAGGAAACTGTGCAACCTGATGGGTATGGTGGTGGAGGATACAGAGGAGGAGGAGGAGGATACAATAGAGGTGGAGGATACAACAGAGGTGGAGGAGGATACAACAGAGGTGGAGGATACAAAGGAGGAAGAGGAGGCCGCGGGGGACACGGAGGAAGAGGAGGCCACGGAGCGGAAGCTGTTCAGACTCAGTCTGGTCACTAAATCTATGTACTATATTAACTACCATGCACGATTACATCTATGTATACACATATGTCATATGTGTGTATGACTATAAGTAAACCATGGTGAGTTTGTAATGAAGTGACTCAAGGTAAAGAAAATAAATTATGGGAATAAAGCTTTATAATGTAATGTCAATATATATGTTTGAGTTGTAATCTTTGCTTTTTGCATAATAAAACACTACAAGAAAACATGTTAATTTTGGACGGACTTCAACCCACATACATATTTTGGACCGAATTCCGACAGAAAAATCTTAATCCAAAATCGGTGAGAATTTTCCGATCAAAACCATACACGTCAGAATTCGGTTAAAAATATCGATCGGAAACCCTGGAAAATTCATTCCATCAGAAATCGGAAGGAAAAAATACGATCAATTTCGTGGTATTTCTGGGATTCGTGGGAATTGGGTTGAAAATTTCAACGGATTTCGGACCGATTGAAGATGCCGATGGATTTCCGTAAGAAAAATTCGACGGGTTTTATAGAATTTGTGGTTTAGAGATAACCAAATTCAATGGAAATATAAAAAAACTTGTAAACAAACATGGTAAGGTACATATTAGTTCATAATTTATAGTCTAGTTGATTAAATTTTTTGAAATAAAATATTTCATTTCGTAAGATTTTAATTCTCCAAAACCACAAATATAAGAGGTTTATTATCAATAATTAAGATAATATTGTTACAAGAAATATTCCGGGTTCTAAAAATATGTTTTGTATCTGCGATATATATGCAGTAGATGTGTAATTGTGTAAAGAAGCATATATCCGGCGATTATAAACAATACAACTATTTTTACACATCAATTTGTATCTTAAACCACAATCCGTAGAAAATCCGTCGGAATTTTTTCTATGGATTTTTGGCGAATGTTATTTTGTTGAAAATGTATATAAACGATAAAAATGTATTAAAAACGAAAAATAATTGATTTCGGATGGATTTCCAACGGATTTAGTTTCAAAGGTAATTTCCATCGAAAAATCTTAATAAAATCATTACCCTAGATTTACTTTCTCTCCGCCGAGTTTTCTTCTCCTTCTATCATCTGAAAACCATCGA